CTGCGTGGAGATCGTGCGGCGGTCGCTTTCGGCAATGGCACGCGGTGCCTTCCCGTCATGTCGGCGCGACGCCGCCGCTTGGCATGCGCCAGATTCGCGCCGCGAGCGTCGCTCCAACAAACCGTTGGGCTTCCAGGGTGGCCTGGTCGGTGTCAGAGGAGATTGGGCGAGCTACAAATGCACTCTCGGGCCCCCTGCTTGGGGCGAGGCGGGCGGCTGTTGCTGGCGGCGCGCGCTCGCGCCCGATCAGGCGCCGCGCCCCGCGGTTTGACCGTGAATTTCTTTTTTTTTTCCGCCCGCGCCCTTCCAGCCCGTTTCTCTGCCCCTCGGGGCAGGGGGGCGGGTTGGTGGGCGGGGCGCCACGGAAGGCGGCTGATTACGCGCATTTGTTTCCCTTGCAGGTTGGCGACGCGCGGGGGGGCGCGCCGCGGCGGCGGGCGCAGCTGCCCAAATCTGAACTTATCATTCGGAACATGCGCAACGGATGCGTGGCGTCGCCGTTGTTGTCGGCACCCTGCGTGGATGACCTTTCCTTGTTTCGAGTGGATTGGTTGCGTTGTGTGGGCCAGGGCGTTGCTCTGGATTGGTTCGGATCAGTGATGCGGTTCCTTCTAAGTGATAGTAAATACTATGGCGGCGGGAATCGGGCCGAACGCCTCGACAAGACGCGGTCGTCAACCCGAGCTTATTACGACAGGAACAAGACGGGCGGCCGGCTCCACAAGCTGACGCCCTCGATGATCAAAAAGGCAAGCCGCAGGAGCGCCCCGAAACTAAAGGCCACGGCGGGCGCGCGCAGGGCTCTGGAGGGTTGGCGGTGGGAGGAATGCAACAGACCGTTCAGCGGTGGCAGCGAACTGGAGCACGCAATTCTCGCAACAACGAACCACCTCCATAATTATTACGAGGCCTTGCGGACAATTGTCATTTTCAGGAGGGCCACCGTGACGACGAACGGCAAACGCTTCGTGCCCCTGTACGACGCACTCGCACAGCGGCACCCTGCATTCTTCAGGTGCAAGCCCAAACTCCATCTTTTCGTGCACCTCACCCAGGAATCTGACCCGAAAGCTAATTGGACTTACCGCGACGAGGATTTGGGAGGAACCGTCAGCAGGATCTCACGGAGGCATGGCGCCCCGATGACCACCAAGGCCTTCTCTGCCAATGTTATGGGCAGGTTCCGCATGGAGCCTTTGGTTCGCGCGCGATAGCGCTGCTGCGACAAAAAAACACACAAGAAAATTGCCGCCTGCGAAGGCGGCTGCGAATTATCCTCCCTGGCTCTCTGTCTCTCTCTTGGTTGTCCTCTTGTTTATTTGTATGTCCTCGTTTCCTCTCTCTCTCTCTCTTTCTCTCTCTCTCTGCTGGCCCTGTCTTCTTGCGTGCGTGCCTAGGTGGGAATTTTATTTGTGAGCATGGATGAACATCGCGGGCTTCGGCACCGCGCTCATGGTTATAACGGCGGAACAAAAAAACGCGCCAGCGGTCGAAAGCGACGTCGTCCGCACTAAACCACGCGCGCTAATTAACGCGTACTACTCGCTAATTCAACAAGTTATGCTTAGCAGGTACACTTGCTAATAATCTTGCGCCCGTTAATTCTAGAGCTGGCTACTCGCTAATTATGATTGACAGCGCTAATTAGTAGATAATCATATACGTATTTGCGCTAATTACCGATGGGTTGCTAATTAGCGCAGATAGGAAGCTCATGGATGCTCCGGGAACGCGCTGCCGGAGCACGTTGCCGCCTCTCCTTCCAGCGTTCGGTGCCGAATGAAGACTTCAGTGGACAACCGTGCACCCAAAGCTCCAGCCTTCTACCTCAAGAGGCCGCCAGGAGGCCCCACAAGGCCGCCCAGAGGCCCCCAAGACGCTCCCAGGTGATCCCCTCAGAAGCGGTCTCCAAAGGTTCTTGGGCCGTCTGTCGGCCACTCTGGGCGCATTTTGGTACGACGCCTCTCGCACAGCATGCTCCGGAAACGCGCTGCCGGAGCACATTGCCGCCTCTCTTTCCAACGTACGCATGTATGAACGTATGTATGTGTTTGTTTTCGTGTTTGTTCATGCATGCACCCATGTATGCATGTATGTATGTATGTGTGCATGTACATATGCACACACGTGTATATATATATATATATATATATATATATATATATGCACAATCATATACATATATATATATATATATACATACGTATGGATACAAGCATACATACATGCATACATATAACGTATTTGGTCTGGTTGCGTGCTTGCCACTTCCTGAACTCATGTTCGCACGATTCGCGGGCCTTCCATACGTGCAGTTTTGACCATGTCCAAAGCTGGGGTTGGCTAGAACCTAAGCGCGCGAAGCGCGCGCGAAGGTTCTAGTGTGTATATATATATATATGCATATATATATATATTATATATATATATATATATATATATATATATATATATGTATGGGAGGTTGGGGGGTGAGTCCGACGTGAAACGGAGACCCCCCGTACCGGAAAATCGATTTCGGTTTCGGGTTCGTGTCGTGCGTGCCGTGCGCGCGTGCGGGCGAGGCGAAGCTGCGTGGGCGGGCGAGAAGAAATCCTCCTGTGGCTGGGCCGCGGCCGGACCAAATGTTTCTCCTCCGGCGGCCGGTGGCCCGCGGTGTACCGCCGGTGTCCCGCTGGTGTCCCGAAATCCTCCCGTGGCTGGGCCACGGCCGGACCAAATGTTTCTCCTTCGGCGGCCCGGGGCCCGCGGTGTCCAGCCGGTGTCCCGCTGGTGTCCCGAAATCTTCCTGTGGCCGGGTTGCGGCCGGACCAAAAATCTCTCCATCCGGCAAACGGTGCCCCGCGGTGTCCCGCTAGTGTCCCGCTGGTGTCCCGCCGTGGCTGCGGCGAGCTATACAATGCAAGCCTACATGCAAACCGACATGCAAACCGAAAAGCACATCGAAATGCAAGTCGACATGCACATCCAAATGCAAATCGTAAGGCGCCGTGGGTTGCGTATTTAGAATACCGGCGCCTGCGACGAGCTTTCCAATGCAAGTCGACATGCAAATCGAGATGCAGATCGAAAAACAAATCGACATGCACATCGATATGTCGACATGCAAATCGAGATGCATATTGAAAAGCAAAGCGACATGCACATCGATATGCGCACCACAGGCATCGTCAGAACAACAGTCACCACTGTTGCCCACTGCTGCCCCCCAAACCTCCTGATCACCCGCAGGGTGGTCGTATAGGTATATATATACAAATGTGTGTGGCAGTCCACTAGATGAAGTCCAATGTACGTGGTGCAATATACGATGTGCAACGTATGTGGTGCACCCGATGTTGCGACCGAGCAAAAAGCGCTTCGCAGGCGCGACATTTGTCGAACAATCCACGTGATGGAATCCAATGTCGGCGACGGGCGGCGACGACATGGCGAGGCGGTGACGTGGCGGCGACAGCCCGCACGGAACCGCCAGACCGACACACTGGCCCAGTTTTTTAGGCCAGAAGTACGAACACCTAAGTGCACTCATTGTTTTGGGAATTCATATGCGTGTATTTGCATAGCGACATACGTATAACTATACATCTTAAAATATGCGCACATAGAACGCAACGTAGCTGATCCCGATCCATCGGACCCTCCATGGCCTTTGGAATTAGGAACCTAGACCCTAGCCTACTCTTGCTGAGGAGGGGAGGGTGTTGACCTCCCCACGTGACGCGGTATCAACGCTGTCGCTGAGGCTCAGATGGTGTCAATTGCGACAAAGCCGCCCCGTTTCGCTGGCGTCACAAGGCTGGCAAAACAAGAAACGCCCCGCGCCCACAGACGCAGGGCATGAGCCCTTTGCGCACGCCGTTCGAGAAGCGCTGCGCCCTAATGCGCCGCCAGTCGCAAGCGGTGTCGGCCGCGCAAGGCAGGCAGTAACAGTTGAGAAAGACGGCCCAGGCGAGAGCCTTGTTACCAACATTACAAACTGTGAGGGCGTTCCGATGGCATTGATGGCCACCAGATTGGAGACGGCGCTGACCCAGGCGTGGAACGACGCAAATCCACAGCGTCAGCAGCATGGTGGCCATTTTCACAGTCCCTCGAAGAAACGCTCCTAACGACGTTCGGTTGACCTGGTTCGTCGTATCTGATTAACGCCTGTTCCTGTGGGTCATGCGGCACGGCCTCCTCTTCCCGTGTTTGGTCGAAGGGGTTGCGTTGGCGATGGGCTTGCGTCTGTTCGGCATCCTAATCCCCTACAGCCACAATGTGTCCCTAAAGCGAGATTATCCGCAAGCACGCCCGTGAACCATTCGCCACGAGCCCGCTCAGCATCAGCTTGCCGCGGGCCATGATCGTCAATCGAGGAAACTGAGCGCCATGCCGCACACCAGAGGCAGCGCCGCGTATAATTAGTTCCGCCAGTTTGCAGGATTCAACCGCAGCACCACAGAACAGAGTGTATGCCGACGACGCCCTGCTACCACACGAATGCGGCGCTAGTTCTGCTGCTGACGGTTCGGTCAAGCGGCCTTGAGTGCGAATTTCGACAGAGGTGGGGTGTGTCAGAGCAATGGGGAGACGCTCGTCTCAAGGAAAGTAATGGCTCCACCGCCTCTACCGGCTAACCCAACTAGCAGCATGCAAATCACTACTATTGCTTCGTCATTGGCGCTGGCGCCTCCGTCGGCCTTGTCCAGGGCGCTTCAAATGCTCAGCAGCGGCGTGCGACTCGGTAAATGCTTGACACCGTGCACCTTCCGATCCAGCATTCCAGCTCCCTCTCCTGCTCCGACTCCTCGGCCTCGGCCTCCCCCGCATCCGTATACTTCCGGGGTTTGCACCAACATAGATCGATGGAGCTGGAGGCCAGGCGCACGTGTGAGTTTCCAGGCGCGCTCCGTCGCTGATGCGCAAGGCATTCTCGGAACGGCGCGCCCCGCGTCTCGTCTAACCGGACTCCTCCTCCTCCTCCTCCTCCTCCTCCTTTTTCTCTTCCGGTGCAG